TTCTGTGCGCTTCCTGGACTTGTAAGTCTAATTCTTTTACCAGGTGGGGGAAGTTTTCTGTTGCTATTTCTTTCAGTATGTTTTCGATATCTTGCTCTCTCTCTTCTTCTGGGACCCCCATAATTCTGATGTTGGTTCGCTTGAAGTTGTCCCAGAGGTTTCTTACATTATCTTCAATTTTCTGGATTCTCTTGCCTTCTTTCTAGGTTCTGTGGAGTGTCTTCTGGCTCTTTATGTTCCAAATTTTTGACTTGATTCTTGTGATCTTCCATTCTGTTTTTAGGACTCTGTATAATATTTTTTATTTCAGACAATGTATTCTTTATTTCTTGTTGATCCCTTATCATTTCTTGTGAGGATGTGAGGGTTAATTTGCATATTACCTCTATTATATAGAATTACTATAGAAAATCTGTGCCAACTGCCTAGACACTTTAAACAAACTTGAGTTTGTTGGGGGGCGGGGGTGGTGGTGGTGTTGAAGATACCACTTCCTTATTATAAGAGAGATAGAAACAGAATTCTTACTTTGTGACTTGTTGATTTAGGTTGTACAACATCTTGGCCCTGCAACTGATTTTTATAAGAAGCTGGCTTTGGATTGCTCAGGGCAGCAGACTGCAGTGGATCTGTTCCTTTTAAGTTCACAATATTCAGATCTTTCTTCTCTAGGTAAGAGGACATTGTGTTTATCTCTTTATATACAGTTTTAGCATATGAATTAAATCTAAACTCTATAGTAAGCATTCTCAACACTTTGGAGAGAGAGACATGTGAGTTACATAGATGATATTTCTGAAAATTAACAGTAAATTTTAAAGCACTATAGCAGTATAAAATGTTTTGATACTTTGTTTTTAAAATATAATTTATTTGCCATTCTCCTCAACAATAAACCTTATATGTTATATTTTATAAATGTTTGTGTTTTCTCAGATTTATATATTATCTTTATTTTGACAGTTTTTGTTTTCTCATTATGGCTTAGATTTCTAAATAATATAGAATTTATACTCCTGTTGGACAAATATGAAATACCTCTTAAATTTCTCTTTAAAGCTTGCATGTCCAAGTATTCAGCAGGCTGCATCTATTATTACCCATCTTTCCATTCTACTCACAATCCTTCACAAGCAGAAAAGTTACAAAATGAACTAAAACGTTATCTCACAAGGAAAATTGGATTTGAAGCTGTTATGAGAATAAGGTGTACTAAAGGTATGACATTATAAAAACTCTGGTTTATAATTAAATGAGCATTCATATATTGAGTATCTGTGACTATCTGTAGTCCATGAAAGACTATATATATATTTTGTGTGTGGAATAACCATTGACCAATTTTTACAGTAATTTGGAAATGGGCAAAAATAATGTCTTGCTTTATTAGAAAGTAGCTAAGAGAAAGCTCATATTGGAGGTGATTTTAGAAAGAGAATTAGAGGAATAGGGAAGATTTTAAGTGAAAGTTATCTTTGCCCTCATCATCATTTAAATAGTCTTCAATGTACATTACCTTGGTTTTATGTGAATATTTTCAGTAGGGATTCTGATCACTTAATTCTTAAAGGAGTTTACAGTAACCCCTATTTTAAAAATATTTTAGATTAGATCTTTTGTGGAACCTACATTGGTCCTTTTGAATTAGTATTTTAGAAACTCTTAACAACACTCCAATCCTGTCCCCAGTTATCCTTTTCATTCAAAATCAGAGACTTTTTTTACATTGTAAAGTATTATAGCTTTAGCTGGAGATGTACTACTATTGCTTCATCTTTTACAACAAGTTTTCTCTTCTCTAGGCCTTTCAATGCACACTTTTCATGGAAACTTCTTTGTGCGATCCACTGATTTGTTGTCCCTCGCCAACATCAATCCAGATGCTGGATTTGCAGTACAGCTGTCAATTGAAGAAAGTTTGGCGGACACTTCCCTAGTATGCTTTCAAACAGCCCTGTTATATACATCAAGCAAAGGTAACATTAGGAGAAATGAAATATAACCTGTAGCAATAATTCTCCTCTAACATGGTGGTGAGAATGGGGAGAAAGAATGAACACACAGTGGAAAGTGATAGGATTTGCATCAGCTAATCAAATGTATGTTCTGTGTTTGTTTTGTTTTTTAACTCTTTTTTTATTCTTTAAATGATTTTTTTTTACTTACATTCCCAGGATCATATATATCTGGTAAACCATGCTATTATGTTGGATATAATTTAGAAGAATGATCTATATATATATAAAAGCCTTGCCCTAATCAGTTTGGCTCAGTGGATAGAGTGTTGGCCTGCAGACTGAAGGGTCCCAGGTTCGATTTCTGTCAGGGGCATGTACCTGGGTTGTGAGCACATCCCCAGTAGAAGGCCTGCAGAAGGCAGCTGATGTTTCTCTCTCAGTGATGTTTCTAACTATCCCTTTCTCTTCCTCTCTGTAAAAAAATCAATAAAACATTTTAATAATAAATAAAATAAAAGTCTAAGCCACCATTTGACTGGTAGCTATGATGTCGTCTGACCACCAGGGGGCAGGCGCACAACACACAGTATGGAAGTATGGAATAGTCTGATGAATCTCAGAGGGAAAGTGGGAAGGGGAAAAGCAGGAAGAGATTAAACAAAGATGTTATATGCATCCTAGAGGCCCACTTGCATGGATTCATGCACCAGTAGGGTCCCTCGGTCTGGCCTACGATAGATCAGGCTGAAACCAGCAGTCTGACATCCCCCAAGGGGTCTCAGATTGCAAGAAGGCACAGGACAGGTCAAGGGGCCCCACTGTGCATGAATCCATGCACCAGGCCTCTAGTATTAAAATAAAAACTAAAATGTAATGTTAAAGCTTTATTCAAAATGTAGTATGTGTTCATAGTATACCTTCAGATTTAGAAAGTGTTTAATTTTCTTTAAAACACATTCACTGTATTTTTATATTTCAATATCCTGTTGAAGATTTAATCAAAACAATACCTTGAATAATTTTTGTTTCTTTCTTTTTTAAAAAATGTTTTGCAATGACATTTGTTCATCACTTTGTTTAGGTGAACGGCGAATTAGAGTGCATACACTTTGTTTACCAGTGGTAAGTTCACTAGCAGATGTATATGCAGGAGTGGATGTACAAGCTGCCATCTGTCTTCTGGCAAACATGGGTGAGTAAAACAGTGAGGGAACAGGTGTAATGCATTTTTCTATTCTAAAAACTGAAACTTGGACATTTTTTACCCTAGAGATCCCTTATTTTAAAAGTGTATGTTTTCTGTTTTCATGTATATTAGTGTAAATTGGATGGTTCTTATATTTATTATTAATTCTTTGGTTTAAAAATCTTTTGAGGATTCATAATCATTTAAAGCTGGTAACAACCTAAATTTCCTTCAGCTAGTGAATATATGAACAAGCTGTAATACAGTCATACAATGGAATATCATTCAGGAATAAAGAACTATTGATACATGAACAAAATGAATGACTTTCATAGGCATTATGCTAAGTAAAAGAATCTAGTCTCAAAATGCTACCTACAGCCCTAGCCTGTTTGGCTCAGTGAATAGAGTGTCAGCCTGGCGACTGAAAGGTCCCAGGTTCAGTTCTGGTGAAGGGCCTTGGTTTCAGGCTCCCAGCCCTGGTCGGGGTAATGTGGAAGGCAACCAATTGATGTGTTTCTCTCTTTCCCTCTCCCTTCCATTCTTTCTAAAAAAAAAAAAAAAAAAAAAAAAAAAATCAAATGGAAAAAATATCCTCAGGTGAGGATTAAAAACAAACAAACAAAAACAACCACTACCTACATGTGATTCCATTTATATGACTTTCTAGCAACAGGAAAATCATAGGGATGAAGAAGAGATCATCCCACGATTTTTCAGGGTTGGGGCAGGGGAGCATCTTACTACAAGGAGATATTCTGGGGTAATGATGGCACTGTTGTGTATCTTGATTGTGGTAATGATTGCATGGTTATGCATTTGACATAACCACCATTGAGCTATATTGGAAATAGTAAATTTTACTGTATATAAGTTTTTTAAATCCTTTAGGGAATTAATATAACACTTAGTGTTTTGTTTTTAATTAAATTATATTTTAGATGGATTTAGATATAAAATGACATGATTATTGCCCATGAATTTTATTTTTAATACTTGGGCATATGTATAGGTTATCTCTATTTTAACAAAATATGTTCTTGGAATTTCATGCTAACATCTGGCTTTTCAGTGTCTGCATATTGTCCTGTGTTCAGTTAGTCCTCTCTTTTGTTTACCTGGGAATGCTTCGGCAGAGATTTCAGAGGATCACCAGGGATAACTCAGATTGCAGAACTTACCATTGTTTGTTTGTTTTCCAATTCTTTCTTTTTTATTAGAACTTACATTGTTTGGCCAGAAAAAAAATACTTTATACGTGTAACTTCTATTTAAATAATGAAAATATCCCCAGAGTTTTCTTAAAGTAGATGAATAATACATGTTTTCCAGTACCAGTAGTAGCTTTGTATTTTTAAGCTTAAAACTATTAAAACAAAAAGGTCCAAAACAATTTAGATTTATTTTGATTATCAAATTTAGTTCAGAAAAATTGGGTAATGAGCAAAGTCACCCCAATAAATTTAATTAAAACAGTTTTTTAATGGGTGAGCAGGTAAATGTATTTTTTTATACTAGAAATTGAATTTTTATTGGTTTCTTAAATAATGCATGTAAGTCTTACCTCTGATAGCATTCATTGAAATCTAAGGGTTAAAAACCTTTTTGTTGCTTTCTAGCTGTGGATCGATCCATTTCAACAAGCCTCTCCGATGCAAGAGATGCCTTAGTGAATGCTGTGGTGGATTCATTGTCTGCATACAGTTCCACTGTCTCAAATATACAGCACTCTGTGTTGATTGCACCCAGCTCGCTCAAGTTGTTTCCTCTCTATGTTTTGGCCCTTCTCAAACAGGTAGCTAGCTCTCTATACAATATTACATTTAAGAAAGCCTTTAAAATTTCTTGATACATATCCAACGTGGATATCTCCGGGAAGTCTCTCTCCCCAGGGCTCTGTCCAGGTGGCGTAGGGGAGCACAGGGCTTTGCCCACTGATGTACATCCCTTTCCACAGCGTTGCAGAGAAAGCCGGGCCTTAGTGCTCCTGCACATTCCTACAGCTTCTCAGAGTCTTATGGACAATGACTGAGGAGATAAACCATGAAGGAAACATCTAAAAAAACAATAATATTCTCAATACATAAGTGAAGAAATGAAATCTAGGTTTCTGGGTTAAAAAAAATATTTAGTTAGAGGATTATGTAGTTTATCATTGGAAAAGTTTAGAAGGACAGGAAAAGATCACTGGAAAGTCGAGGTATAGAGATACATGATGACTGTTGTGAGACCCTATGCCTTTACTCTTCAATATGTGAAAGCAGCCTGCATAATGGTGTGCTTATAGTTACTCTTCGTGTATGCTTCTGGACAGAGACTCAGGGAAAGATTAATACTCATTGAACATCTTTCCAGGCAACATAATTGGTGATAGATACATATCCTCTTAACTTATAGCAACTGAGAGAGGTGAGTATCATTTTTCCTGTTTTGTTGATGATGACAAACATAGCTTTGAGAAGCTAAGTAACTTGCTCACATACCTTTCTATTAAATGTTGGAGCTGAGCCGAAACCGGTTAGGCTCAGTGGTAGAGTGTCGGTCTGCGGACTGAAAGGTCCCAGGTTCGATTCCGGTCAGGTGCATGTACCTTGGTTGGTTGCGGGCACATCCCCAGTACAGGAGGCAGCTGGTCGATGTTTCTCATCGACGTTTCTAGCTCTCTATCTCTCTCCCTTCCTCTCTGTAAAAAATGAATAAAATATATTTTTAAAAATAAATAAATAAATAAATAAATAAATAAATAAATAAATAAATGTCGGAGCTGAAAATAGAATCTCGGTTTGTCTGATTTGAAGGCCATGCTTTTTCCATGACGATGGTATATATTTATTTGTTTGTTTGTTTTAATATTTATTATATTTATGTTTTATTTGAAATTTTTGTCTTTTTTTTTTTAATGTAGAAAGCATTTAGAACTGGTACAAGTACACGCCTGGATGATCGTGTATATGCCATGTGTCAGATAAAGTGTCAGCCACTTGTTCACCTAATGAAAATGATTCATCCCAATTTATACAGGATAGACAGATTGATGGATGAGGTATGATTTCTTTTAGTACATTTGAAGTTTTTAAATTTAAATATATTTGAATGCCTTGATTCTGTTGGTAAGATAGCAATGCCTTTATTAACAATTTTTAAATTCATTTTTCCCTTCTGGTATTAATGCATTAAATAATGACACTTAGGATTTGATTGGATAATCAAGTATTATCTGTGGTTATGGAGTTTTCAAAAATAGTTTCATGTGGGAAGTAATATTCCTTGTGGGATTGCTTATAATATTTATGATAAAGCCAAGTTGTAGACTGGACATTTCTGTATATATTTTATAGATATTGACTATTTCTAATATGATCAGAGTGCAGTTTTTTATTATATTGTAAACTGGATCTGATATCCATCAGTGTTTTTAATATGCAAATATGTGGTGTCTGTTTTCTTCCTTGTATTAAAACTCTTTGGAACCTTCTCTGTATTGTATTATGTTTATAAAGAAATGTAAAAAAGTAACTTGCTTTGCAGCAGATTTAATAGTCATACATTTAATATATCCTGTTCCCCAAATGGAAGAAAATGGAGAGATTGTTTTATGTATTTGTGTTTCTTATTAATTTGAATGCATCTGAATGTCTTTATTCTACAATCAAGGTAATTTTTAAGTATCAATAATTTTTTGCATCCTACAAAATCCTCAGGTGTTATTTTCAATATTTCATGAGGAGTTGGTGACGTTAGTTTCCAAACTCTGCTGATAGCAATGTCAGCTCATTCACATTCAGTCTGTTTTTGTTGCAGGGTGCAATACATGTTAATGACAGGGTCGTACCTCAGCCACCTATTCAAAAATTGTCTGCAGAGAAGCTGACAAGAGAAGGTGCTTTCCTTATGGACTGTGGCTGTGTAAGCATCCTCTCCTGACAAAGCCTAACACTGTTCCAACAGAAGGAGAAACACAGGGCCTCTGCAGATTAGTCAGTGAAAGGTAGATTAGGAGCTGAGAGGCAATACATTGTAATTGGCACAAAAGGTTAATATATGTTAGACTTTTCTAGTTGGATATTATTTTATTATAGATTAATAAATGTTACCATGGATTATTTACTGTCCTAGATTATATATATTTGATACAGAACAGAGTTCCTGTTTTCAAGGATTTTATCATTAAACTCATAAAATTCAAAGGGGCCTCGAATTTGTCTAGTACAATTTATATCCATTGTCAGAAACGCCATTAATGATTAGTTCAGGAGAAGTCACTGGGCAGAGTTGTGGTGAAGGGTGTTAGAATGGTCAAGTTGGCTTCATAAGTGAGACCTTATGAGCAGGAAAAGGATTCCAGTAGCCATAGAAGGGGGGATGGGAGAGCACATCAGTGAAAATAATAGAGACAGTCACTGAAATAGTGGAAAGGAAATATTGTGAGCCAGTTATCCTGGTTAAAACATCACATTCATATGGGAGCGGGGAGGAAGAGAGAAAGTAAGATATATTTTATGGGAAGCTTTGAAATTTAAGCAAAGAAGATAGGAAACACTTTTTAAGATTCCTGGATGTAGATTCTAATTATATTTCCTTTTTACTTTTATGTTTCTACTTTATTTGAAATATTTTACCTCTTTTATTCTGGATAATTTTGAGAAAATAAAATAATGTGTTTCTGATTAAGGAATTTTAATATCTTGGTTTTTGTTTTTAGGTTTTTTACATTTGGGTTGGAAAAAGCTGTGACAACACCTTCATCGAGGATGTGCTTGGGTATCCTAATTTTGCATCAATACCACAGAAAATGGTCAGTAGGATTTTATACAGCTTGTTTTGTATGTGCTTGTTTGCTTGAAATGTTTTTTATTGAGATAAAATATACGTAAGATTCACAGTTTTAACCATTTAAAGTATGCAGTTCATTAGTTTTTAGTTAAATTCATAATGTTGTACAACCATCTCCAGGATCTAATTTCAGAGTCCCAAAAAGAAACCCATATCTCCCAATTCTCCCCTTCTTTCCCATCAACCACTAATTTCCTTTCTGTATCTGTGGATTTGCCTGTTCTGGACATTTCACATAAATGGAATCATATACAATATATATATATGTGTGTGTGTGTGTGTGTGTGTGTGTGTAATCAGAGTTTACCATATGACTACCATATATATAAATTTCAGAGAGGAAGAGAGAGAGATGAGAGATAGAAACATCAATGATGAGAGAGAATCACTGATTGGCCGCTCCCTGCATGTCCCCCACTGAGGGTCGAGCTTGCAACCTGGGCATGTGCCCTTGACTGGAATCAAACCCAGGACCCTCCAGTCCTCAGGCTGACATTCTATCTGCGGAGCCAAACCAGCTAACGCTGTGTTTACTTCTTGAGGAACTGACACACAGTTTTCCAACAACTTTTCCTTCTGATATAAATTATTTTGCTGATAACATTTCTCATTTGGCCTTTACTGTGTATGTGTTAACCAATACCAAAGAAATATCATCATGAAATCAGTTCTCTACATTTAATTAATTGAAAAGGTCTACCTTGCCCCTACCTTGGTTGGAGCATCATTCCGTACACCAAAAGATTGTGGGTTCAATTTCTAGTCAGGACACATATCTAGGTTGCAAGTTGGATCCCTGGTTAGGAAGCACACATGCACGCACGCACAGACCCCCCCCCCCCCCCAACTTCCTGTCTCTGAAAATATACTCAGGTGAGGATTTAAAAAAAACACAAAGTCTACCTTATTTTTTGATATTGTAAATATGTCATTTTCCTGAAATTAATATAATGTCAGTATAATTTTTATCATTTTCTGCTGTCATTTGACTCAAAAATGAGAATAAGGAAATGTTTTTTAAAAGAATAATAGTGACGGAGGAAAGCATATGAAAAATAAATCTCACTAAATAGGATAGTAAACATTATTTTAAAGCTGTAGATATTTAAACACTATGATACCAGCATAGTAAACAGAATTCATAAATGGAGAGCATTATGCTAAGTGAAATAAACCAGTCAGTGAAAGAAAAACACAACATGATCTCACTCATTTATGGATAATAAAGAACATTATAATACGATGAACAAAAAGATAGATAGAGAGTCAGTAAAGCATCAAACAGACTATCAAATTACAGCAGGAAAGTTAGGGAGAGGAGGGGGAGATAAGAGACCAACTGAAGGACTTGTATGCATGCATATAAGCATAACCAATGGACGCAAACACTGGGGGGTGAGGGCATGTATGGGAGTGGGGTGGGGGAGGGCAATGGTAAGATATGTATACATATAATACCTTAATTAAAAAGGGGGGAGCGGGTGCAAGGAAAGAAAGAACTAAAAAAAAAAAATCTAATTCCTGAAAAATAGAATGTAGTAAAGGTTAATCCTGCCTAATAAGAGTAATATGCAAATTGACCATCACTCCAAGACACAAGATGGTCACCCCCATGTGGACACAGATGGCAGCCACAAGATGCCTGCAGAGGAGGACAGTTGGGGGAGACCAGGCCAGCAAAGGAGGGCAGTTGGGGGGCGGGGGGACCAGGCCTGCAAGGGAGGACAGTTAGAGCAACCAGGCTGGCAAGGGAGGATAGTTAGCGGTGACCAGGCCAACAGGGGAAGGCAGTTCAGGGTGACCGGATGAGCAGGGAGGGCAGTTGGAAGAGACCAGGTCTACAGGGGAGGACAGTTGTGGGGAACCAGGCCTGCAGGGGAGGGCTGTTAGGGGAGACTAGGCTGGCAAGAGAGAGCAGTTAAGGACAATCAGGCCAGCTGGGGAACAGTTAGGCATTGTTCAGGCTGGCAGGACAGTGGTTAGGGTGATCAGGCTGGCAGGCAAAAGCGGTTGAGGCAATCAGACAGAGGCAGGTGAGCAGTTGGGAGCCAGCAGTCCTGGATTGTGAGAGGGATGTCTCAGATTGGAGAGGGTGCAGGCTGGGCTGAGGGACACACACAGACACACACACACACACACACACACACACACAGTGCATGAATTTTGTGCACCAGGCCTCTAGTTAAGAAAATAAAATAACAGTATAGCTTTTTTTTTTTTTAATT